GTCTATGTAACTAAGTGATGCTATATAGGCCTAATATCAACCTTGGTTATATGAATCTCATAGTAGGCCTATATTGAACGAAGTGATACGGTCTGAAGGGTCATGCCTATACGGTACTTATCACATATCGAGAGCGAATTCATAGGAAAATCTGGGTAGGGGACATGTACTGTTTAGTTCAGTTCAGTTTTTATTGGCACTCGCTTTTACAACAATAGCACACACTAATCAGTGGTGCGTCCAAACTTACTTAATCATAACAATAAAAGTGAACAGAAATAAAATTGGAAACGCAAAGGCAAACAGAAATATCAGGGAATTTAATAAAAAGAATAAAAAAAAAGAATAGAATATCATCCAGAAATAAAAAATTCAAATCTTAAAAGAATCTTAATCTTAATGGTAAAAAAAAGCAAATTTTTATTTAGAAATCCTTGACTATAGACACGACTTAAATCGAAATTTATATGGTTTTGGTGTTCTACTGTGCTTCCTCTTTCTCCTTTATTTTTTTTTCGCATAATGCATATCATAATGGAATGACATCAGCAAGGCCTGTTTGATGCTCCAGAGCATCACCAATAACGTAGTGATGTTCTATACTATTTGTGGTGTGGTATCGAGCATCAGAGTAGCCAATGAAACTCAGTCAACAATCGTCGGAACATTAATGCTATAACACAAGGATTTTATCTGTACAGTCCTTGATATTACCATAGGCCTCAACCACAGATTGGCTATTACTGTATTATACTACAGAAAAGTATTAGAAAGCATTTTACCATATCCTGAGATACTATGTGTGGTATACCCCTAGTATAAACTAAGCATCACGTAATATGTGGAACTATTAATTATGGTCTGTTTAATACCATTGTACCAGAAGGATAGTGTATATACGACATAAAGTCACATCAATCCAATCACACCAAGATAGTATATCAAATCAAAATAAATCGAATCAAATCAAAATTAATCTGCTTATCTTGAAAGCTGTTGGGAAGAGGGGTTGATTTAGAATTATTTCAGTCATTGGAAAATGGTGTTTTACTGGATTTGAAACAAAGACAAATAATGTTTACCACCAAGCTACTCATTCAACTCCATTTTTCATAAATACTTGTCATTGCTTGTTTTCCTATGGTATAAAGTTAACAAAATAGGCCTAATATTTTTTTCTTCTATGGGCCTTTATTATTAGCAATAGGTTGAAGGTACAGTATTGATATATTGTGTTTTAATCATTAATCGGACGTATTTCCTCTTTTCTCTCCTAATACTTTGATTGAAATACAATTATGAATATGAAGGTAATTGGACAGAATAAAACAGAAAGGTCCACTGATTAATTTCAGATAAGATAGTACAATACGTATTCCAAGTATTGAAATGCACGCCATCGTGTCGGGATTCAAAATTTCGACATTAATTATATCATCATCAGGAATGGACAGTATAATCGCCATCACCACGATATTACGCACTTAGATAGAAACAAATCAAATAATGAAATTTGTTAACAAATTGAAATCAGAAATCCTATAGCGAAACCAGTACCGATTAATTGTAACTGTCTAATTTAATCTTACACACGCGCTAAATGCAGTGAGCCTTATTAGCAATTTTAACCAAAACTCACGGATTGTCCATGAACACAATACAAGTCGTTACAATCGTTTACCTTGAGTGTGAACCCGGGAAAATCACGTTCTTACAACACCTGATCACAACCAATAAATAACATTGATATCGCATTGTACGCCATAATACGTAAGTCCACTGACGTATTGCTGTTACCATTTACTTACGCCAGAGATGTATGTATTTTTTTAAATAAGAACCAGCAAAATTTTGCCAAGGACTATCAAGCTCAAGATGTTTTTATTTTTTTTAATGTTTTTATTTTTTTATTTATTTTGTTTTTGTTTTTGTTTTTGTTTTTATGTTTTATTTTGGTCCTACTGTATATTTATTGTACCCACTTGCTAAAGGTGGAACTCTTTGGTCGCACCTACTGTAGGCCAACTGATTAAAGTTAAGACAAAACTGAATTAAGTCACTCTTTGTTTCCTCTAATTATTTTTTTCTTCTTGTTTAACAACCATACTAGAAACAATATAACGAAAGCATTTAAAAAAAAAATCAACGTGATGTAGTATTAAGTATTGGTACTTCGTAATGCAAACCTTCAAATAATAATAACAAAGATGATGATGATGGTGATCATATTAATTGTGAAATGTTAAAAATCATACGTAAATACGGCGCTGCCTGACATTTAAATTATAGAAAACAAAAGTTTTTATTTATTTTTTAAGGGAATTATAAAGATGTGAATAGAAAAAACAAATCTGAGAAGTTTAAAGCCAGGCTCCAGATAAACATTTTTCCCATATGTTGTACAACTGATTTTTCAAAGGACACAAAAAGCATAGCCCTATTTGACGAAAAACTCGGGAACGGTTAATGAGATACAGATTTTTGAATATTTAAAAACTGGGGAAAAAAGGATTGTTACTCCTCTTCTTTTCCTAGTTTTTAAATAAACCTATTCAAAAATATGATGTTTGTTGTCTTAGAAAAATCAGTTGTAAAGTTGTACAACATATCAAAACAGTTTTTTCCTCCGGAGCTTGGCTTTAACAAAAAAGTAACTTGTAAGAATTAAAAAAGGAATGAGAATAAGAACGGAAAGAAAAGAAAAATAACTAGTATCTATAATAACATTATTAATAATAATGGAATATAAAAATGTCTTCTTTAAATGCGATTGGGGAGTATTGTTGTTAAATAGGAATTAATATAAAATAAAAATTGTAGCACCATGGATAATGTGATATTATGTTATACATTATACACAGATTGTTTCGTAATGAGTATATTTTTATATTATTTCAAAATATTTAGCAATGGTATTTTTTATATACCGACGACGTGACGTTAATTCAAAAAGTGCAACTAAGAAATTAACCTAGTAGTTTCCATTCCTGTGTTTATTTTAAACCACCACATAGTAACAGCTTTAGGTAAGATGTTAAAGGGGGAAGCTAACCTAGTAGGCATACACCTTTATATGTATTATATATCAAAATGAAGCTACAGGGTGCCATGCAATTCTTGAGAAAACTCCCGCGGCAACGAATGCTTCGTTCCCGCCGGTGAAAGTTGAAAGTCATATGTCGAAATGAGCCTACGAGTCTGGTTAAACATTTTCATTATTGGCTGTGTTTGAGTCTAATTTGTTTTCTTTGCTTGAATTATTTGAGAATCTACACGAAATGTGACATGTGAACTATCTTGGGGGTACATCATTGTTTAACAAATTGAACTGCGGAATTAATCACACAATTATCCAAATAAAAATGTTTAAACCAAATAAAACATTCGGAATGCTGGCGATAACAGAAATGATTGTTTAAAATAAATTTGTCCCAACCTATATAAATTTTCCTACTAGTCAATTTTATTGTATAATTAAAAGATAGACAATTACCAACTTTGCGTAAATAGGCTTATAGATACGATATAGAGCCCAAACAAAATAATTTTTAAATCAAACCATAATTATTCTGAATTTCATTTTCTTTTATGCACAATATATTTTGTAGCGTTTGTGATTACAGATAAGCGAATATATATATCTGTCTCTGTTAATGTAAATATTGATAACGCATTCAATCGAACAATGATAACAATTATAATTAGCTTTACTACACTGCTTTATTAAAATTACGTGCGATTAATACGGAAAAAATATTTTGTAAATTTTAAAATTATCCTAAACTATCGAATAACAAATTCATCTTCATCAATTTTTTTTTTGTAATATAGATTATTGCTTGTATTTAATTGTAGTTGTAACCATGTTGTTCTTATTTTATGTCGTACATGTACTCAGTCTATCATTATCAGTCCAATTTAGCTGGAAAGCTTCAAAGACGATATTTTTTAATAAAGTTGATTTGATTTGATATGATTTGTACATAATGCTTGAAGATGGATACACTACCTTTACGTTAAACGTATGAGAGAATGCCCTTAGCTAAATCAAGTTGAAGGCGTTTGAGTTACCTGCGTTAAAACTCACGGAAACTTGGTCAAGTGTACGTACCCAAGGCCTAATGCAGGCCTAGTTGACCAGTGACGTACAGGTGCGATTGAGAAACTTTTCCGCGGGGCTAGAACTCTGCTTGGGGCTTCTAATTAAACAGTGCATAACATGAAGGATGGCCAGAGGGCCTAGATTTCATCTGGGAAATTCGCTCAAAACAATAGGTTACAGCAATTTAAGGATTTTGATTGAGAAATTTAAGAATTAGAGAACAACATCGAACAGTCTGAAACGGTGTAATGAGTTGAGAAATTGACTACTCACTGACGGAAATCAAAATAACGGATCATTTTGTAGTGGAGTTACTCCAATACTTATATAGGAACAACACCAATTTAATTAATAATTAATAGTATTGTCATCTAGCAGGTGTCATAGGACTAGGCCATATGGTGTGTGTGCTAAATTTAGCCATATTCTACCCTCACTCAAGGCCTATGGTAATTATGCAACGTGTATTGTCAAGTGTATAATAAAACATAATGTATTAGCTTGCAGTCCCATCTGTGATTTTTTTAGACGTGCCTAACACTACGCAATAGTCCATTAAAACAAAGTTTGCGAGCATTATCGCTAGGTCAGAAAATGACGTCAATATAACTTTTCAATGTTATTGAGTTTTGAAAGTACACCTTTTTTTTATAAGAACACATTTTATAGGAACACTGAGGCTGAAATTGCTTAAAAATTAAGAACAATATAAGAACAAATTGAGGCTGAGGTAAAATGTCTAATGAGATTTTAAATTAAAAAAAAGAAAAAAATATATATCTACCTTGTGTGCAGTAGGTAAGTAATAACCTCTATAATGAAGTACAGTAGGTGTACAACCTGTAATTTGGGACTATTTTTACCGGGGCATTTTAATCTCTGGCCATTTTTTCAGGGGGCCTTTTTTGAGGGACCATTTTTCCAGGACCACTTTTTACCTACATTCGAGTACAGTGATACTGCTGTACAATAATAATTTGTTATGTTTGAAATGTGTGTAACATAAAAACAAAGTAAGAACATTTTGAGCCTGAAATCGGCCAAAAAATAAGAACACTGAGCCGGAGCAAAATTTCACTGGTTCTTATAAAAAAAAGTGTACGTTATAAATATGTATTTATGGTTCTACAGCTCCACCCGCCACCCCCACTTTTTTTTTTATACCAAACTGTAACGTTATTATAACGCAAAATATTTACCTACAAAGGTCCTGTAATTGATCTTTCGCTTTGTTTCTTTATATACGGTAAACGATAACTTACAAAACTCATAATTCAACATTTTATGCAATTTCATATATCTAGCACAGATGAATGATAGACTGTCCGTCATGAGCTCAGTCGGCTAATCTGGTGGCATATTACAACCTTTTTTTCGGTAGTGCTTTTTGTTAAACAATTGGATACTAGTAAACAGTGCTTGTTAATTGTAGTTTAATCAATACGATATTTGGCTTATGATATCTCATTTTTGCTCATTCATTTTTTTTTCTCACGACAGCTTTGAGAAATAAAAGCATCTTAAAATTTAGGTTTCTCTGAACTGTTTCAGTATCATAATTACTAATTGAACTGCATGTCGGTCTACCAGTGCTACACCGGCCTACCTCACGCAAAGGTAGAAATAATCTTTCGAAACCTTAGAAGTTAACTGAGATATTTTAAGCTGAATTCACAAACCGCAGAATTGGTACATTCAATATTTTTATCGCAGAAATGTTTCGGAACCTGTTAGTGACGTCACTGAGTACTACGTCAGACTGCCCTCAAGCAGGTTACCCACGATCGTGAACTTCTATCTGCAAAGATAGTCGAGCACAAGTAAGGGAACAGGTGTTGAGTTTACTGCAGTACCGTAGGGTCATACCGGGACTTTGGCTTTGATTTCTGGGTTAGGCATACCGCGGGTATGATCTATAAGATGCGGGTTAGTAATAAAAGTAAATCACTTAAAAGTACATATCGTGCCGGTTCGCAGCAGGCGTCGAGTCATAACAATCCGGCTTACAATAACTATCATAGAGTTGACAAGATAACCCTTTCAGATAAAAGAGACATCTCTCACTAAGAAATCTGCTTGATATAACCATAGCTATATAGTATAGGAAACAGTATTGGGCCTATGCATCGACTAAATGTTGATCCTCAAATTAAGTACCAGCGACCAATTATCGGATAAGTAAGAAATACCTGAGCGAATCCTAGTTTTAACTGAGAACAATGCAATACCTCTACACACTAATATCAAGTATTGAACTTCGTTAGTAATCCTAAGTAAACGTATGCCTACTTGCGAACGAATGACTTTAGTCCATTAATAATTGCTGAGATATATTTATTTAATAATAATAATAATAATAATAATAATAATCAATATTTATATAGCACTTAATGTTAATAACCTCTAGGCGCTTAACAACGATATAATAAACAAACAAAAAAAAAAAAAAAAAAACAAAAAAAAAAAAACAATAAAAAATAAAAATAAAACAAGTATAATAAAATTATTATATATAGCACATTCATTTAAATATCATCGCATTGTCAGTTTCTCCTTATTTAGTATTCCAGCACTTACTTCCACAAGGCCCCATAAAAACAATTATTAGTTTATCACCCTATCAAAGAATAAAAACTTATGAGGGAGGGAGGGAGGGAGGTTTTTTTTTATCCCAAGTAAATCAATTGTTAGAGACACATATATAAAAAGTCATAAGAATGGAATCAAATTTATATTTAAAAAATATGTTTTTGTTGTACCAGTAAACATATTTGCAAGAAATCCTAAGCTTTTCAAGTGAAAAAAAAAGATAGAAAAAGGACCGTTTGAAATAAAAATATATGTTGATTGGAAAAAAAAAATCAGATTTTCCCCAAAATTGATGAGGGAGCGGGTGATAAACTAACAATTTTTTTTATGGGGCCTAACCTTACTTCACATTCTTCATAGTCATTTATCCGACATATCTTTTTTTTATATCGACACCTTATTCCCACTTGTAACACAGGAAACTCTGGAATTCGGCCAGATATTATCGAATAATTCGACCAATTTACAAAATCTAACGTACACACGTCCGCACGAGCTTCCGTTGGTGTTGTATAGTATATAGCATGTACTATAGTATAGGCATAATTGTTGGATATTATTATATTTAAACAAGTATTTGATCATCGACAAAAATTCAATTACAGTATTATTTGAAATTCTGAAAAAATTCAATAGTGAATACAGTATAGTCTAATTAGCCCATGCATTGGGCTAATAAAGACCGATGGTCTTTATGCAAATACTCTGTTAGTTTAGGTTATTTAGTAAATGGTATAGCGATTTTAAATAACATTCATGTAATCACATTATTTTACATATAAATTATAAGTGTATTGCTTTGATTGTTATTTTATTTCATTCCATTTTACTCCAACAGCGCAAACGCCAACAGGGAGCATAATACAATATAATATCACGTTGTTACGTCATAATATCCTATTCTTGTGCTGTATGATTTAAAAAAAAATAATTTCATAATAGGGTTAGATTAATAGTTAAATAATAAAAGCATTCTACGTATTTTACTCATTATTAATAATTGCTAAATATCATAGTACAGTAATTGTTACCGTACTAATTTTATCGATGTGCCTATATTATTCGTTGAGTTCTTTACTGATTCACTCATATTAAATGCGATCATTATTTCCTGAATTAAGAGAAATTCACCCAGGAGTATCAATGGCTACCTGGTTGAAATATACTATGGAGGTTAAAAGGCGGCATGGAAAGGAACTGATTACCTTATTATTACCACGCAATGGCTTAGTATATTGGGCTAACATCTCCAACGTTCAGTAATGAATATACGGGACTCCCTTAACATTACTACAAATGTAGTTCAAGTAATTTGTTTATTTCGTTTCCATCTAGTTTTTAAACAAACATTAAATCTCATAGTAAATGTTAATGTCATATAGTTTAGTTCAAATAACCTCACATATGAATCAGTCCGGGCGAATTATTGCAGGCTTATCTCATGATTTCATATTATTTTAAAATTTTCATAACGTAGTTAAATTATGATGCTATCAAATTATTTAAATTTCATCAAAATTTCAACATATATGCTTTTTTAAGTCAGAATTCGTTTAGGTGCGTTTCACTTTCTTTCGAAAATTGTTCAGCGTTTCTAGTTCGGCAGCGTTGATGGTGGATGTATCGCTGAACTGTTTGACCCCCACCATGGTTCTGGGTTCGCTGGCCTGTTCAGTACATCACAGCGGATGTAACTTAATTTACTTGTTTTGCAAACAGTGAAGCCACATCGTTTATTTTGCGGAGAATTCATTTTTTTGCATCATCAGTTTCATACCTTAGAAAAATATCTATTTTAGGTGAGAATGATGGATTCAAAACAATTTAAAAAATTGATCGGATCGGAACGTAGAAAACGCGCTCGATATATTTACCATTCATTAAGTTAATAAGAGAATTGTATTTACATTATAATGTAATTTAACAAACTTATCATGTATCTCAAATATTTGTATTTTCTACATAAATATACACAATTTATATACATATATAGTTTATTACTCAAATGCTCATAATTTTCTGAGATTTCCTCAAGTTGACATATTTTCTTAATTACTATCATTTTCATTTTTTTTTTTCCAGAAATGGCCTATGCGATCCAGATTGTATGTAGGGGCGATGACAACTTCGGCAACCAACCAACAAAACTTATGAAACGTTTATCATTTATAGTCATTATTAGTTCTACTGCGCATGCCCTTTCTACATGAAGTGCAATGGGGAGGTCCACCTACACATTGTGTGTTGAACTATACGAACTAACCAAGGTGCATTATGGGTTAACGTATATTTGCGTTATGCACAGATGATAAGTTTTTCGTAATTTCCTGGAGAGCAAAATATATTAAGACGTTGTGTTGTGCTGGAAGGTCGTCAATGAATAACTCAGTGCACCGTACTCAGTACCGTATGTCATATTTTTATACTGTGCCATATAAAAATATACTAGATGGACACTGCGAATGATTCCCTACTTATAATCATGAGGCCTACAATATAAGACTAATGGTGAATACGAATATGTTTGGTAGAATGCAATTTTCGTTAGATCAAATAAAGTATTAAAATATAGTCATTGAAATAGTATTGGTAACGTGAAAACATAGCGTGATTTATATAGGGAAAAGAACAAATCGAATGCGATGCCAGAATCGTTGTATTTGATAATTCAAATAGATCAGTATTGTACCACCATGGACTTAATAGGTCCATGGTACCACAGTGTAATAAGGCCTATATTATATATTGGCAAAAGTCTATATCATCAGTAAAGAATATAAATTTGGCATTATTTACATTGAAATATGTGTATAGAATAAATAATGTTATTGAAAAATTATATAAGTATAAGAAATAGGCCTAATGATTAAAAAATGGGACTATGTGGGAAAGGTACCTACGTTTCGTTGCAAATGACTTAAGAACTGACGTAAATTGTTTATAAAAAAAAATACGCAACGCATGTGCTTCATATATTTAGGGGAAAACAACTTGAACAAATAATATGTAAGGAACCTAAGATTTCTACTAAACCAAAAAAGGTTACGATGGCACCATTTGATCATGATGGTGATGAAATTATTCATTATTAATTTTATTTGTTTATATGAAGGAGTGACCTTATGCGTTCAGCGCAATCTTAGATAATATTTGAAATATAAAATTTTGAATTTTTAAAAATATTACTTATTGTGTCTTTGTTTATTTTTTATGAAACTTAAAATTGTATTAATATAAAGCGTCCACAGACTGAGATAATCATTCAAATAAGAGTACGCTTTAAATATTAGTTGTAATAACCGCTTCCAGGATACAAAAATTTAATGTAGATAAAATTTGTAATCGTTATTTTGTTGCAAGCAAATGTATGAAAATAAAATCGTTGTGTTTTGATCTGTGAAATTGTTGTGACTTAATTGTAGCCTAATTAAAATAGAGAGAAATATTAATGCAAAATATTTTCATTGAAATAATTATATCGATATTCTGTAATATTCAATAAAGTGAGTGAATAATTATTTCTAATAAAAGTGTTCAATATATTAAAATAATTGTGTGTGAAATTTCTGTCATTTTGTAGTGTGTCTACAGTTTGAAGAAACTGATATAAGACGTTGAGTGGTTGGTTGGTTATGAAAGGGTAATTTAACTATATATAAAATTGTAATAATAAAGATTTAACGATATAAAGTTCTTGGATTGATAATACAACATTATTACCATAATATAAGTAAAATCTATCTCCCTAGATTCAAAACCGAACGTTAGAAGAATTTTATAAAAAAAATTCCGGCTATTTACGAACTGTAAATCTTCCCTGTTCACCCAGGTCTTCTTCTACGGACTTTAATTGAATATGTAATTTTTAAATGTTTGGGGGTGTTGTATTTTGGATGGTTTTGGGTGTCGGTCTTATTTTCTTTTTTTCCTGTTACAGTAAATAGTGTTTCTACCTATCACCCCCATTAATTCTGTATTAGTAAGGGTCCTTTGTAATTTACTGTTTTAAAACGTTTAATTACTTTTGCAAAAACTAGCCTAAATTAAATAGACAATAATTGACTATAATTCTCTCTTCTTTTTATATTGTTATGTTTAGTGTATGTGATGTTTTTAAATGCTGTCCATACTTTTGTTAATATTACGTTTATACAAAGAGACGCACACCTTACCGGTGATAGCATTTGTATGCTTTTTGTTTGTGCATTTTTTTCGTTTTTTGTTTTAATGCCGGAATGAATGAAATAAAAATAAGACCAATGAAAACTATAAGATTAATGAATGTAAATATGGTTTGACAATACTATCTTTTGCAATGCAAATATTCTTCTATGGACGGGAAACTGATTACAGTACAAGTATCGATATAGGCCTACACTATAATACAAAACACTGACGCAACATATAGACTTACAATTAAGCTGATATAATATATTTTCGTAAATTAGAAACTTCTTTTGTATATGAAAGTAATAAGCATGCATTGGAAACTATGTCCTAATTAGGACTTAATCAAGCTGACATAATACATTTTCCTAAATTAGAAACTTCTTTTGTATATGAAAGTAATAAACATATATTGTATTGTCGCTCAGAAAGTTTTATCAACAATATCTTACTTTTACATTATAGGCCTTTTTAACGCTTTTGCTTATCTATGTTGTATAGCTACTAACGATATCCAACCATCGTTTTCCAAAACAATATTATTTTACAGCTGTCTCTTATACACATCTAGATGTGTATAAGAGACAGACCGTACGTTACTGGAGTTTAGTTGGGAATAAACATCTAATTTGAAGCAACTGGTTTTACACTCTTTGTGGATGCAAAGACCAGTACTAATACTCAACCTAATCATAATGATACGCTGTCACCATCAGTTAGACAAGACGAAACTTCATTCAAAACATATATATATCCTAATAACGTATATTATCATAACAAATGTTTCTATATATTTTTTTATAATACTTATATAGGAGAAAACAATTTGATACGCTTGAATAATTTTAAGAATTTTCACAAAGATCTCCGAAGATATAATGATATAATAAAAACACCGACAGCATTCCATTTTGGTGTCGGTGTTTTTATTATATAATGATATAATAAAAACACCGACACCAAAAGGGAATGCTGTCTAAATTTTAGGAAGAGGAATCTGCTGAAAAAATGAGCCTTCGCTTCACCTTAACCACTTTGGAGTGTGGGGAGGGCACTAAAAATTCGTTTGAAATTGGAACCCTAGTTGACGAATCTAACATGGGCTGTGACAATTAATGATGAACTCAAGTACGGGTACAGTACCAGAATAGACTTGTCTTTTTTAGTACAGTAGTATCAGAGTAGTGGCAGTCTTCGTAAGATGGTTTATAGATTAGTGCACTCTAATTTTGTATAAGGAATTCAGAAGTCTGTTCCATATGCTGCACAGAGAACTGAACTGCTTATACTGACAACAGCAATTCAGTTCAGAGAGCTAACTGCTTATGGAGGAAATATATTATTAATATATTAATATATTTCCTCCATGCTTATACTGACGCCAGCAAACTCTCTCCGAACATTTTGGATCCTACCATATTCATCATCAGAAGCTTTGTAAACAGATTTTTTTTTTAGATGGTTCAAGTTGAAGCGTCTTCGGACATATATAAGTCTCCTTTCATTTTTCATTAAAAAATAATATATTTTTTTTATCGTTTGAAATGTAAATATAACTTAATAAAAAAATAAATAAAAGACGGAACGAAAATAAAACGGACATCACAGTAAAACAAAAAACAAAACAAAACAAAACATTTTGACAACTGAACAACTATAGACACGTCTTTTCGAAAAGTGATAAATCTAGATGTTTCATAATTGTATTAAAAATGCAATTTTGAATTATTATACAAATACATAGGCATATCATTTGGTGTATTAATTGTTACCCCGGTTTGGATCAAACACGTATAACACATCAAACTCCATTTGTAGCACCATTCCATAAGTAATTAGAATCAGTGTTTCATTGAATCTTCGCCTAAAAAACTCCCCCTATTGAAAATGTTTGAATAAAAAAAATCACGTTTTTTATCAAGTAGATAAAAACCACCTAATATATCACTTTATTTTGCGAGCTAGCGCCACCTCACTTAGGCCTAATCACTGAGCCCTCTATTTCACCCTCGTTTCCCCCCCCCTCTCCCCCATCATGCCCATTTCAAGACTCCTACATACGCGACTGGATTTTCGAAGTACTATTTTGTTTTGTTTTTTTTTCTTTGAGTTTGACACTTTTGTCAATAAAATATAAGGCTTTTTTTGTCCTCTTACCATCGAATTTCATAGCTCCATGCCCTTACGAAAGTTAGAGGATCCTATAGTGTTGGACCCTGATTAATCTTTTATCATATGCCCTAAATAAAAAAAAAAAAAAAAAAAAAAAAAAACAAACAAAAAACACACTCACACACACCACACAAAAACTGAGTTCACATTATTGTCGTTCGTCATAAATAATAATTTATGCAAATAAAGACATAAGTAAGAACCGTATTTAATATCGTGTACTAATTCGTTAGATGTACTATGGGATTTAATGGGAAGGTCCCAGATTCGTAGCAAAGGGGTTGCATTACGCAACCCAGATAATTTCTCCCCTCCCCAAATATATCGAATTTACATTATTTTTCGTGTAAATGGTGTTGCTGAACATGAACTAGAGGACAATAACCCGGAAGGCGAGACTCGAGGCGTTTAATTACTATCACTGCTCCGTACAAAAATAACTAAATTAGAATCATACTAAGTGCTGTCATAACCGCGTTACTCAGACAAGAAACACTCGTTTTCTAGGCCTCTCGATCTATACGTACTGACTGAAACAGCAGTTAGGGTCGCGGGAGCAAGGCAACGTCCAGGAGACATGTGCTGCTACATTAACACCCAGGATGATGTAAACCGGTATAAAATTCCCGAAGGTCTTTAGACAGCCGTTTGTCGGTATATTCGAAGTGTACGGAATACCAGACACATAACCATGTCATCATCGATATGCAACAGGAATGAACAAGCGGCCCGGAGGCCCTGATCCCAACCTATACATTCGTTAAAAAATCATCAACTCTGCCTAAAATCATAACACGTGTTAATCGTATAATTGATTTTCATAGTGACACTATATTTTTAAGTCTTATACCAATCGGTCAACCACACCATAACAACGAACTTTAAAATAAAATTATTTAAATTATTAATTATTTTATTTCATTTTCTTAAAACATATCAATCGCACTCGCATACCGTAGTGGCCTAAGGATTAGCTGTATGTGTTAGCTGCACCTTTTTTCATTTAAAAAAAAAAAAAAAAAAAAATATTAAATATTCATGAAATAAAATACAATTAATTTCAAACGTGCAATTTAAATGATTGAAAATGAATTACTGATTAAAATGTTATAAATGGTTATCAATTTTATAATGAGTCAGATCGAAACTAGCCTTATTCAGTTTTCGTTGGTGTTTGTACATTCGTGCCTAAAATTAGCGAAATATTTCCTCATCAAAAGGACATTACACAAATCATTACACGGAACTATTGTTTAAATTCATTCCGCTGGAATTGTTCAAGCTATCAAATTCAAATCCATAAAAAAACAATGGTAGGCCTAGCTCATTTTTTCGATTGAATAAAGTCAGTTTATGAATATTAAAGAACTTTCGTTGCAGTAAATCTGTAATTCAGTTTTTGATGATTTACAAATATTTTTCAACGAAATTTGTTAAATTGATTAATTTTACTTCTCAGAATGTTCTCATTCTAGTTTATCCTCCAATTTTCATTTCACAACCTCTTGATAAAAATAATTTTGACTCGAATTATTATTGTTGTGGTTTTTATCTACTGAAGACAAAGTTTTTTAAATTAAGTTTGATGATATTATTGTATAGATTCTAATTCCCTTTTTCTATTTTGGGTAATTGTAGGTTAAGCTATGTACCTTCGCATGTGTTTTTATGTTCCTTTCCAATAGTGAATTCTGTAAATAGAGATTTACGACTATTTCTTCATCTTATTATAATATCTTTTTAAGGATGTGATGTTGTTAGAAGATGGTTTATCAGCGCAACAGTGCCGGATACCGTTAACAACATACTGCGGTGTTTGTGAAAAGAAAAACACTAGATTGTCTTGTGGTTGTGGTTATGAGCGTATTGTACTTCCTTCTTTCGACGCCGACTACTACAGTACTAAAGTTAAGAAAAACCTTTAGTTCGGAGTGTTTATACAGCTTCATTTTACTGTTTAGAACGCCACCTAAGGTATAGCGGTGAAGGCCATTGCCTCCAGCACTGATCGTTGCCCAGACACCTTCAATTCACGGTGTGGGAAGTCAGACGTTAAATTTTTAGTTCGATATGTTTGTCCTGTTCAGCTTAGTACACCAACGTAATGTCATTTGTAGAGATAATGATCTTTAACGTGTGCCGGGTCGAAGGTTATGCGTTAAATCCATTTATAAATTCATAATGGGTTAAACTACTTCACAATAAAAATTCTTTGTAATATCACAGCACACTACTGTACTGTACTTTTTTTTTTTTTTTTTTTTTACTATTACATTATATTAGAGTTTAGGCTAGCACCATGCAGGATATTATTATTTAAATTTCGACAATTATTTTTTCACACAGAAAAAAATTATCCAAAAATAACTTACTTAAAAAAAAAATCGATTAAACTTCTATTCTACGAGCGGTTCGAGAAGTAGGCCTCTATACGTGAAACAAGATTTTTAAAATTAGTATTACAGTAGTGAAATTCAAATATAATTTAAGTTATATTTTTCTAAAAATCTATTTCAGTTTGAAAATTCGTTTCAGGCCCACATTACACTTGGGTGTGCATCCCCTAGCTGTCACGTGTCCACACAGATCGTAGTGAACGGGATTTCAAACTACTGAATTTTAGATATTTGAAAAAGCTTTGAGACATGTTCATTGGGTAAACGTAGCCAAAGATTTAATCTGTTATAATCGGAAAACCTCTCATAACATTCAATTTAAAACTTCGAATTAAATTATCGACTTCCAATTAAATATATGGTATTTAGTTTTTCGCAGACGAGATTTACCAACTTTTTACTAGCACGCCACAAACGTAAGACTCTAAGCAACCGCAAGCTATGGTTGTTCACTATTGTCTTGTTCCTCTACCGTTAAAACATTGAGGTGCCTGATAATTAAATAACACGTTAAGTTTAATACACTTTGAAACTGTCTGCCTGTCAGTTTAAACGATACAATAATTTAGAAATTGTATATTGTTCTAAATTTCCAATTAAAAGCTAATAACTTTATTAGATATACAGAATAAGCAATTCAAATATTCAAATATTGAATTCTTTGAGGTACAGTATTTTGCTCACAACCAAGACAGTATGACAAATAGAGGGCGCAATATATTCTGTACAGAATTTAAGTCGCATGCTTTTCACTTCCATTTTTTTTAATTCAAGAACTTTAAATAGGAAAACTAACTACAAACTATGAACATACTATTACTGACTTTAATTTATCGTACTTAGTTGTACGATGTAAATATATTTATTAAAAAAAATATAATAATTGAGCATAATATCTGAGTATTGATAGCTCTTCCAACTCATAATAAACAACTGGCTAAACCATTGAAGTGGACTAATGCAGTTTACATTAATAGGTTTTGCCTATACACTTTAGACCTAGTCCTAAAGTAAATCTTTCTAAATTACATCATATTAGCCATTCAAGCTAAGTCCATACTTTCATAAACTTTAATCTTACAATAAAATAATCTCTCAACATACAAATATACAACAGTATCATGTTTTAAATGAAAACACAGCATGATTTGCTGATATTTGGGTGTGATATGACATCATCATGCCGATATATAAGCAAATCACACATGTCATATCAAACTCTCATAGTGTGAACAGACCTTAAGAACAATACGTTATTTAACATTCAATCCTGAAAAGTAGAATATGTAGTGTATTGATCCCCTAAACAGCTTTTGTAATCATATGACCAAAAACGAGTGCACACATGCAGCAATACTCCCAATTAAGGCATAGTGGCACCCATCGTGCATGAGTTTGTGGACATTTTGGAAGACAAAATAAAAACAAAAAATGCTTCTTGCTGTCTGGAATATATAACACCTTGCAATCCTTACATCACATCTGGATCACAGTTCAGGCGTATATTATAAGTATCATATTCCTAGAAATCAAATTATTTGAACAATTTTCATCAGTGATTCATATTTGTAGAATTTATAAAATGTAATCAGAACAAGAACCATTTGACAAGTTTTACAGAATATACTTGGTTTGGTGGAGTATATAGAGGGCTCATGTCAGAATAAAATTGTTGTTTTCTAATAAAAACAAATTTGGTTAAAACTATGAATGTTGTAACTAATTAGTACCAAAGAAACGGTTCCCTTAACATTCACTTCAGAATCAGGAAATACTGTCAACATATTTTCAGGTTTTTCTTACCATCCTCCCTTCTGAAAGTGCCCGCCAAAGGAGCTTCGGCCCCCTCCTCTACCCCTTCCACGTCCACCCCCGCGTCCACCTCCCCTTCCCCCACTACGAAATCCATTTGCCATTTCATTCTCAGCTTCTAACTTCTTTTGGTGTTTCTTCCACCTTTCTGCCATATCTACAAGCTCATCAGGAACTTCCTGCAAAGAAAGCACGCCACAAAAATAAAAAAAAAAAAAACCAAAAATAAAAAGAACACCCTTATAGTAACACAAATGCTACAGTATATAATCTTATTTGGCTTTTAATAGATATTTTTGGTGAAGTTTTGTTTCTTGAAAACTGTATTAAAATTAATACAGATGAACTTGCCTAAGTCGAATCCAAAATGGCATTGAAAAATTGTTTAACTTAGATAAAATTTGACTTACAGGTCATTAATTGATGGATAACACAACAATTTGGCATATAAAATAAAATACTCAGAAATTATTTGAATTTGGCAAAGTCGCCTTAGGCAAGTTTAACTGTAATACAAATTTCATGTTTTTCATTTTCAATTTGGAAAAAGTTTGAAATATAGAATGTAAAATCTCTTATTCTCTTATTAAATTTTGTAAATGATTATTTTATGTAATAAAAAAAAACCAAAAAAACAAGAGTTTAACACACCTGGTGAGCCTCTTCCATAATTTTGATAATGTCACCTGCCCATCTCCAATCGCGTCTTGTCATCAAAGTTAAAGCTGTTCCAGTCCGCCTGCAAAAGTATAAAGTTAAATCTAAATGGCCTATCTCATATTACTACCTGGTTTTTAATAATACTGTACAATGTCTGTAAGTAAACAAACACTGAATTTGATGATCATTTTGATTCTTGTCATTGAGGAATACAATGTATTAAATGTTTGAATGTCTGGAATCTAACCCTAACAGTTACAAGACTGCAGTACAGCCACTGTAGAAGAGTACAATTAATGGGGCTATAGGTTCATAATCACAACCCACAACCCACATGATTATGTTGCAGCCCACAAAAATATATTTAAAACCCTATGCATGTGACCCGCCAATCACCTAACTCTGGCTAGAAAACACCTTGCACAGCCTGACACCGATCATCTATAAAAATAATATTACTACTGATAATAAACTGGTATAAATGTAGTGCATAAAGGTTTTTGCAAGCACACTGGAAACGTCAAAGTTTGGATGTGGCCCTTAGGTGTAAAATCAGAAATTCACTTTGGCCCTCCGACCCATTTTTATGCCCACCCCTGGCCTAGGGTATGCAATGTAAAAGTTTGACGCCCAAAAAACATGGAGGCAATTTAATACCTGAAATGTTTAAGGATCACAGTCATATAAATTTGCTGAATGTCCGCATAACTCAAAAAAAAAAAAAAAATATCCTGGTGCGAGGGCTGTAAAAAATTACAAATATTGTCCCCTCTCACTGAATTCACCTACCCTGCTCGTCCTGTTCTTCCTACTCTGTGAACATACTCTTCAATGTGGCTTGGACAATCATAGTTGAGCACATATGTGATATCCTTGATGTCAATGCCTCGTGAGGCAACATCAGTTGCTATCAGGATCTTTACGTAACCTACAACACACAATAGCAGCACATAAGTTATACAGTGACATATCCAGGATTCTAAAAAAGGGGGAGGGTAGGTGTGCTGAATAGATCTATTCAACATTACCCAAGGCAGACTGTTCAGCGCACGCAATGTGGCTCCCACCAACTTAGTTAACCCTCTAGATACCGTCTTCGACTGTAGTCGAAATTGACCTCAAACCGAGAATTCCCATTTTCGACTGTAATCGAAACTTCGTGACTAAAAAATAGGTGGTTTTCAAATCGCTCTTCTGTTTTTATTTTAGCTCCAATACGTCAGAAATTTTGAACACGTATGCGTGAAGCTTTTGTTTTTCGAAATCTGTGAAGAACTCACATGCGCTTATATAAAAATTTAGAAATATCAATTTGAAATCGTTATTAATTTCAAAAATTTTTCGAAATGGACGCACAAGATGTGTACACAGCTGAGCAAGCGATTGACCTGATTTTTGATTCAGACAGCGATGAAGGTGAATTTTTAGATGTGCGAGACCTAGACGTGCCTGTTAGCGATGATGACGGTGGGGCTTCAAGCAGTTCTGACGGCGGAGATATTCTTGATGAAGATGAGCCTAGGTCTAGAAATGTGAGGGTAGTCGACGCTTTTGAATGGAAAGATCGCGCTTATAGTTATGGATGGTTGGGTAAATAAATTATATAACTGTGTGGAATAGGAATGTTTTATATTTGTTTTTATTTTTTTTTGGCTATAATTTATTTTTTTTTTGTTTTTGTTTACCATTTTTATTTTTCATTTTGTTTGTAATTTATGTTTTTTTTTATTTT